CCCCTTCGCAAGGCGCTGGGTTCTTGCAGGTGTGGATGTGGTCTGGATGTTGTCCTGTGTCCTGTGGTCTCTATTTTAGGAAGATTTTTCTTTGGTATATTTTCATAGCTCTATGTGTTTTTGGGAGGAGATTTCCACTGCTCTACTCACGCCGCCATCCTGTTTTGCTTCCTTTTATATGTTGGATAATTTTCATACGTTTATATATAAACTTGTGAAACCCGTATTTTTGATAATTTATATAATTGGCCTTCCTTTATTTTTTAACATTAATATTTGTTAGATTTTTAAAAATTTGTGATATATTAGTACAATTAAAGTGTTCTAATAGGAGCATTTTTAATGGTGATTGTTGCTTCCCGAAAGTTATGCTTGTTAGTGTGTAAGAGAAAGAAATTAAAGCAACTTGTCTGTTATCCATTCAACTCCTTCACCAGGAGGAAATCCCATGGGGGAAAGGGATGATGGATTCACTCTTGTACACTTACTTGCATCATGAAATTGTATATATTAAATATGCCCAATTTTTTCATGCCAGTTACACCCCAATAAATTGATTTTTTTAAAAAAGAAACTGTATTAGTCTTCATAGCATATTGAAAAGAGTATGTAACCTTTTTAGGCTGCGACTCTTTGCTAACAATATGCATATTGCTTGTTCCACACTAATTCATTGCATCATCACAACCATTTGCAGTTCTACTAAAGTCAGGATATGCAGAAACCTTCTGAAGGCAATACTGTAAAACAACGAAGTGTTTGAATGGGGGTTGCAACCAGGAGCTGAATCTGGAACCAAATTCTTAAACATGATATTATAATATTACCCCTTCACCAAATTCCTTAGAATTAAGAACTTTATTTCAAAATTTATTTTTAAATGTTACCAAAAATGATCATATAACAGGTATAAAAAAGATATAAATTCCAGAGGTGATCTTTTTTTTTTTTAACCTAAATTCCATCAGTTTTCAGTACAGGAATAGTAATTTACTACAATTGGGATCTAAACAGTGTTATTTTGAGAGAGGTGCAGTTTACTTTTGACATACAATTAAAAGCCCTTTCTCAGTGCCTTTAAAGTCTATGTCTTAAAAAGTTTAAAATTAAATAGTAAGAAATAGAAGCATAAAGGAGAAAAGCACACAGGGATGAAGAGAATATGAAAATCACTAAGGATCATACTATGATTTTTGTTGTCATCATTCCTCTTTAACCCTCCCCACTGGTTGAAATGGCTTGCTTTAACTTCACAGTGATTCCATTCGTAACTGGCAAGAGAAATGGCTACAGTGGTAACAGTATATTAAGTTTACTTTGTTTCCAAGAAAAGAGCATCTCTTATGACTGCAGTAACTTGGCCTGGCTTCAGATAGTGACTCCTCAGTTTTGCCATAGCTGCCTTCATTTCCTTATTCCTTAGAGTGTAGATAACTGGGTTTAAAATGGGAGTAAATATGGTGTAGAACACAGCAAGGACTTTCTCAACTGAGTAACGACTGAAGGGCCACACATATATGAAGATGCATGGTCCAAAGAACAGCATGACCACAGTGATATGAGCAGTCAATGTGGAGTGGGCCTTTGCCATGCTAGCAGAGGAGCGATTCCTAACTGTGTTAAGTATCACAGTGTAGGAGACAACTAAGAAGAGAAAGGAACTCATAGAAAGAAAGCCACTGTTTGCAACAATTAGTAAACTGACAACATACGTGTCTACGCAGGCCAGCTTAGTCACTAGGGGGAGGTCACAGTAAAAACTGTCTACCTGATTAGGGCCACAAAAAGGCAAGTTAACAGTAAATGCCAACTGGCTGGTAGTATGAATAAAGCCAATAGACCATGGGATGAGGACCAGTGTAATACACACATGCCAACTCATGACTCTCATGTAGTAGAGAGGTTTGCATATAGCAACGTACCGGTCATAAGCCATGGATACAAGGAGCACCATTTCACTACCACCAAAGAGGTGAATACAGAAAATCTGGGCCATGCAGGCTTCAAAAGAAATAGTCTTGTGCTCAACTAACAAGTCTGCAATCATTTTTGGGGTAGCAAAAGAGGCAACACATGTATCTGTAAAGGAGAGATTTGCAAGCAAAAAATACATGGGGGTATGGAGGCGGGAATCTGAGATCACAGTGAGGATAATGAGAAGGTTGCCCAGCAGTATTGCTAGGTAGAATAGAGAAAATATGACAAAGAATAAAAGTTGGAGCTCCTTGGAACTAGAGAGTCCCAGCAACACAAATTCCGTCACCCATGTGTGATTTGCCTCATTCATTGACTTCACACGGAATTTATCTTCATTTACCTGAATAGGAGAGAAACAGAGGTCAATCAGTTAACTGAGTTTGGAGTCAGTTTCCCAAGTTGCCTCAGCTTTAGGAATCTTGGTTTCTACTGAAATGTATTTCTTAGATTTTCATTCATGCCTAAATAAAGAAGGTACTCTAGCAATCAGGAAAAGACAAACAGACGCAGAATGGGATATTGAACTGTAACTCTTCTAGATAAAGGGGTTGGTGGAGAGAATTTCATTCAATTGATTCATTTAGTTACTTGAAATTAAGAGGTCATGTAAACTAATTTAGCAATGAAAATCACAAATGAATGTTGCAAATAATATCTGAAAAGTTGTTTTAAAAACAGAGAATCCCAATATTATAATCTACAGAGACAACAATCTGTCATTTTTTCTTCACTAAATAAATTAGAAAGTAAGAGAAACATTTATGAGCTACTAAAGGAAGAACATAGATTTTCAAAACTAATGTGCCAGAGACTTACACATAAAGAATACATGCTATATTATTCTACGCAATGTAGTTTAAACATAGAGAAATGAATATGTAGTATTAGAGGCCAAAATAGTAATTATCTTTGAAGGATAGAAAGAGACAGGAGGGGACATTGGATGGCTTTTGGCTTCTGGTAATGTTCTGTTTAGTGATGCAGTTTTGAGTTACTTGTTTTTGGGGGTTCCCCTCCAGACAGAAGGCACTCTTTGCCTTTCCTTTCATGAGTTCTAAAAAGCTGCCTCCTACTGTAACATTTTACACTCTTCACTTGTATTAGGACAGTTTTTTTAATCACTGACTTCCTCAGAAACTATCTTCTGCAATTCTGAATTAATGGAAATATAATACACATTTTATGTCTCAGATTTGGTGTTTGCTTAATAAATGTGTCCATCTTTGCAGTTTTTCCTCTTATGCTAAAGGGCAATGAGTAAAACAGAAGGAAAGTCTACTTTTCTTCTTTGCTCCAAGGAGAGGTACTATGTGAAGAATAAACATACATACATCTATTCCCTCTTCTGCCACTGACTAGCTCAGGAACCTTGAGAAAATCTCTTACATCAATTTCTCCATTTTAACAATGTAAGATGAAGATGTTGGAAAACCAAAGGTCTCAGTTCTTGCTATATATGGATTTATGTAATTTTTATTTTACATGTTTATGTATTTCAGTGAATTCACTCTATAAGAATTTAAATGCAAACATTGCCCAGGGCTCTGTGCTAAAAGTAGGCCCTGGTTAGGCTTATAACCTCCACTGTGGAGATCAATTACTAGTTTATAATCCTTTGATTTTTTAGGTAAGGTGGTGAACCCTCTTTTCCGTTCACTCCCCAGCATCTTCTCTATTTATTAAAACAATAGCTTTATCACTTAATAACAGGAGTTTTTATACCCAGTATAATACTATACTATAATGGAATACTAACTGTATTAGAAAAAAATACTCTACATTAAAATCACAGGCAATCACAGGCAGCTGTATGGCACTGAGCAAGTCATTTAGCCCTTCAGGGACCAATTGTTCTCACATATAAATTATTGAGATTAATATTACCATCAAAGAGACACTGAAAATGTTTCTTAGAGATTATGTAGGTAATAAATCTTTAATAAACTGTAGTGACTACACATATTAAGCATTCTTGATGATGTATTATTTTACATCAGAATAAGTATTTTGTTTCTGTTAACAATGCCTGTTCAAAGATGGTATTGTCTTACTTGTACAAGAATGAGTTGTCACCACTAGATGGGCTCAAGTAAACTCAATTTTTCATTCTTTATACTATTTTAGGTTGAATTAATGCAATCTATCTCTGAAATAGTACATCCATGGGATAATATAAAGTAGTAGGGATGAGTATAATTTGCAGATGCCCCCAAACTCTACCAGTTCTAAGTTAGAGCCTTCAAAAGCTTTCTTTCACTGTCTGCTGCCTCCATCCCTACCTCCCTTCATCTCCCCCACAGTCACTGTGCCCTAGAGACCAGTGCTGGTGCGTGATCTTCAGAAAGAGACCAGCCAAACGCTGTCTCTTATCTAATATAAAATGAAGCATGTGGGCTTATCATTTAGTCTGTGATCATTAAAGCTTGGAAAGGGTTTAACTGTCAGCTTCAAGGTACCAAAACCCCAATCACCTGGCCCTGAGGAGATGAGCCATAAACAGGTTTACTTAGGCACAGGGTATCCTTTCCTGTGATGGGCTTGTCTTCAAGGACATGGGACAGCACTAAAAATACATTTTGCTATTGTTGTGCAAAGTGTAACCTCACTTTTGCATGTGTTTGTGATAAGAGCACATCAGGAAATATGTTGGCAATCTACAGTAATGTGTGGAACCTCTCAAAATTAAAATGAATGATATGTCACTAAAAGTCACAAAAGGAGGATTGATTCATAGTCTATCTTATAGCCACATATCCTAGGAAAGCATGGCCTTGCAAATAACATCCAGAAGCATGAATGGAATTAGCTGAATAGTTAAAACATTGATCTTAAGGTGGAACCTAGGTATTTCAACTGTAACTCTCTCATACAGGTCTTCTTTTCCTGATCAGAGAAAGCTTTAGTTCAAAATATTAATCAAAGCATTCCAAAGTATTTTTTAGGAAGTGCAACCAATGATAGTTATTGTCATAGAACTTAAGCTCTGTAAAATTCCTGAAGTGACTGGAAATGCAGTAATTTTCTTGAACTAATGGTTAGAAAAATTTTAGGCTTTTTCCTTCCTTATTCCTTACTTAGAGTGCATTTTAATTCTTCTCTCCTCAGAGATGTGTTCTGTATGAGCATTATGTAACAGAATCAGACATTTTATCCTATAATAATACAATGTATTTAACCACGTAAGTGATAAGAGTCTTCAAGACAGGCATCATGTAAAGGGTATACTTTGTTTCATAATTAGGTGTACAGCAGCAGGTGGTTTTTCATTTTATTAGTTATTTTATATCTAATAACAATATCTAATAGTTTTAACTACAACTAATTTATACCTAATAACTAATACTGCTCTATCTTAATAACAGGCCATTCTAAATTATATATACTAAAATAACCCAAACGTTAAATCAAGGAATGATTTTGAAAGGTATAATGTGCTATAGGCACAGCATTAGCCTGGGATCTAGAAAACCTTGGTTCTGCTTCTCTTTCTACTAAAGAACTTACCAAATTTTAGGCAATTTTTACAACCTCTCAGGAGCTTAGTTTCTTTTTCTTATTTTTTTTTAAGAAACGATTTTAAGAATTTTCCCTCCTAATCGATAATATTCTGTTTCTCTGGCTGTCTTAAATATAATTTCAAAAGGGAAAATCACTTAAATGTAAGTATAATGCAACTGCTTCACTGATGGTAACAGTATAGACAATCCAAGAGATAAAATAATGGTAATTTATCAAAAAACTCAGGGGTCAATGACTGTGCAGTGCCAAATATTTGGACAGGTATTAGTAGACCAAATGGGCACAGAACCACAGGAGAGTAAAGAAGGTAGAGAACAATTGCCTCTCTGCTTTCTCCTCCTACTGCATGAAGAGCCTAGGACAGCACAGCTCCCTCCCTGCCCCATGCCTTAACAATATCTGCACTTGCCAAGTGAAATGAAATGATGCAAGAGCCATTCAATAAAGAGCAAAGGAGAGAATCTAAGTCTTTCCAACATTCAGTCTAATCCTTTACAGTCTTCAGCATCATATAGAAGGAAAACCTTCACAATGATTAGAACCTAACTGGGGATTTAACATCATTAGAATGTAGTAATTAATATAAATGATGACATATCTGTATGGGAGACATAATAGACACTTACATGGAGGAGGGGTTTGTGGGGAAGAAGCAATAAAAAAACTGAGGTTTTAATGTCATGTTAGAAAAAATGTTGCTAATATTCATTATTCTATTATGAATATTGTCGTTTCTGTAAAAACAGCTTCTGAAAATTTCCTAATTACACACATCCATCATTTCAATATCTTGTAAAAATAGGATTTTCTATTTTAAGTTTTTAAAATGAAGGCAATAACTAGAATATCCTCTCCACATTAACTTCTCTACTATTAATACAAGTTTTGCAGACCAGAACAATATAATATTTAATATTCTTCTTAATAATTAAGAGAGACAATTCTTACTAAGGCTGCATAGTATTATTCCAGTTATTAGCTTAGAAAATAGGGCTAGATGATTCCAAGGCTGTTTATATTTCTCAAATTCAAAATGAAGAGGCAGTTATAGGAAGGGAAAAGTCATTATAGTTTGGAAAAGTCATTCAGAAGTCCTTAGACTATCTTTTAGAACGTCCAATGGCTTCATGATTAATCAGTTACCATTGACTTTTGAACAACATGGGTTTGAACTGTGTGGTACACTTATACACAGATTTATTTCAATGAATATATAGAAAGAATTTTTGGAGTTTTGCAACAATTTGAAAACATTTTCTTTCTCTAGTTTACTTCATTGTAAGAATACAGTATATAAGACATATTGAAATATGTGTTAATGAGCAGTTTATGTAATCAGTGTCTTCTGGTCAACAGGGGGCTATTAGTAGTTAGTTTTGGGGAGTCAAAAGTTATATAAAAATTTTTGACTGCATGGAGGGTCAGCACCCCTTATCACTGCATTGTTCAAAGGACAATTCTATATACTTGCTCATTGCCAGTATACCTAAGGCATAAGGATCTTTTTAGATTGCAAATCACATCATAAGATTCTTTTTCCCCTCCTGGTTTAAGAGGAAGTTTAATATATTGGGAATTTATCTTACATAATTATCTAAAGAATAATTATTTATTAATGTATTTTAATTGGAGTTCTTCTTGTCCCTAATTTATCTCACAAGACTTGCTTTCCTATAAGACTAGAAAAGCAAAAAGAAATGAAGACACCTAACAGATCTACTCTGCTTTGTACAGCAATTACTGTGTTCATTCCAAACAAATTTTAAAAGTCAATAAATATAGATTTAATGAGTGTCTAAATATCCTCTGAGTAGAAAGCATAATAGCATCACAGAAGGGACAGAAAATTGTTCT